GTTCGACCCCTGCCAAGCTCGCGTTTTTTTGCATCAAGACCCAATTGGATTGAACCAATAATTTGATCAAATATAAAAATAAACTTCTTTTTTTAAATAGCATGAAATTCATTTAGTTGAAATGTTTGAAAACTTGATATTTAAAGAACCATTACATCCATAATAGCAGGTTATGCCCATAATCCAATCACGCTCATTGCTGCTGCACCCAAATATAAGGCAACCAGTTGACCCATCTTAAAGAAAGCAGACCCGGCATGAAAGCTATTGGCGTTGAAGTGAGGGTAAATGATATTTACTAAAACATCATAGATCAAGATACCAGCACTCAATGCATCCAGGATTCCAGTTGAAAGTAGAGTTTGTGTGGCATTGGCGTTATAGGATTGATAAAGACCGACACCAAGAGCAATGCCAATCGGTGTTGCAAATGTATCTATTGGAATCAACGGCATACATTGGATTAGTTTATGGCTGTCGCCTGACAACATCAGACTTCATATAACTTCAAAGGTATACTTACAAAATACAGCCATGTATATGGTCATGGCCCATCGTTTAAAGTTGGCCTCTGTAACAATCGCAGACAAAGCAACACCCTCAAAAAACTGGTGGAAACACAAGGCAATTAAAAGAGTGGTGAATTCATCGGTAGCGACTCCAAGCGTAAGTCCAATGATAATAGAGTGCGACGCAATACCAAGCTCAAGGAGATAAACCACAAGCTGCTTTTCGCCACCATACATCAGAGCACCTCCATGAGTATGACCTTCGTGATGGATCATTTCATCATTTACCATAGTAGATGCTTCGTTTTCTATTATTTCAGATTTGTCAAGAGAATGAGAAGCCCCTTTTTGATGCTTACGAATAGCATGACTGGCAAAGACTTGAACCAGGTGAGTAAGAAAAATGCCAACCATTGCAAATACCGCGGCGAACCCTGTAAAATCGGTAAAGCTTGATGGTAGACAGGGATGGACTAAAGTATGGACAGATGACAAGAACATGTGGACCAAAGCAGTTGAAAGAATCACACCAGCGCCAAACAGTTTGAAAAAGGTAATTACTGTCTTTCCAGTCTATTCATTTTAGAAAAAGATCCAACGCCAGTTATATTAGTCAAAACAGATAAAACGTTGGGGCTTAATGAGCAGCAATTGAGATCATGTAGCGACTTACATCCGAACGAATAAAGCGTTTCCCCAGTATTGGAAGCAGGGTACCAATAAAGGATGCAAGCATGATAATAAAAATTGAGGCAATATGCATTTTTAAATCATAATTTCCAGAAATTTCCGAGGCACATGCATCCAATGGCTCTGAGAATGGATTAGAAAAGATTAGTGGTGAAAAAAGAAAGCAAATAGAGTATCAAGAGTCAGTACCGATTTAAAACCAATTACAATATGAAACAGAATATTTGAATAGCGTTGCCTTGGGAAGCATACCTAGAGAGTTATGAACATGGCCTTCTAGTCCATGACTGTGGTCATGGTCGTGGTGACTGTGACCATGCGAGTGAGGACCTTGGTGTGGAGCCATTGTGTAATGAATTGAAAAATTGACTGGATTGACAAGCCGAGGTAGATTGTATGCAAGAGGTGTTGTAGAACCAAATGAGTATATAGAATGTTGTAACTGCGAAGGTACTCTTTTCTTTTAAGCATTTGGCTAGTGCATAGATGGCGTGCTTTAAATCCAATCAGATCTGTCCTCCCTTTGAGCTTAGAACCAATAAAAAGCACCAATTTGCCAAGCAGAGAAAAATAAAAGACGCTATAACCAATCATATGATTTATAGGATCATGCAAATGACGATATGCCGCATTTGCATACTACACAGTTGCAAGGGCTGGCTATTGCCAAATAAAAACAGTCTGGCGGCAAGCAGTCTTGCTTATATACTCAAACTTTTACAGCCGTATTAATGTAACATGAAACACTAAATAAGGGCTACAAGATACATGATAAACGGCCAGTCTCATGATTGATTGATGCTCATTTTTTACAAAAAAATACAGCAAATATTCACATTCCTGTTCCAATACATTCTATACCCTTGATATCTCTTCGACCTTGACTTTCCTTCCCTCTAAATCAAACAATTTGAAGTGAATATTGCGTGATCGGCATGTATAGTTGCATTCCCGAGATTTGTTGAACTAGAGTGCGAACCCATCTGATATTAAGATACAACAGAGCTTCTTCAATAAAAGAAATAGTCAATATCCAATAGAAACGAATATGTAGCGATTGTTTATTCCGGATTAAAAGAGTTATTACAAGGCCAATACAGAAAAGTGTTTCATTTTACGTGAATACGACTGTAATAAAGGGACAGTTCTGGCCGTCAAGTATAAAAACACATTGCTTAATATTCTGGCCAAAATATATCAGCTGCCCAGAGCACCAATCCCGTCTCTACCCAACTACAAGATCAGGTGGATGGCCAGCAAAGCAAATAAATGCGACAAACTATTTATTAGATAATGAAGCAGTGACAGCAGCAAGCCAGTTAGATTTTTGGCTTGGCAAGTAGAATGGCTCAACGCCAGAATATTGCAATTCAAATCAAGACATCGAAAATAGTATCCTTATGAATGATGGCCGTATAGGTCCACCCTATATCTTTTTTGAGCATCCAACGCAGCTGCAAGACTATGCTCTCTTCTTATATCTGACGCCCGTCTGCGTATTTCTTGACTTCTCAAAAGCTGATCGTAGTTGCATTGTATCGATTGCTCATAAGAATCAATCGAATTGATGCCATCCTGTATTCAAGACCCATGATTTAATTATTAGTAAGGACCCGTTCAAGAAAAGCTCGCAGCATGGAGAACCATACCTTGTATCTCCACTTTTCACAGCTCTCGACAGATGTGTATGAAGATCGACGGTCCCTGAACAAATCGTCTTTTTCCATTGTGCTGTCTGATTCAGACTCCCAGCATGTATCAGAAGAAGATGCATTTATTGGTCGATGTCTAATACTATTTGCCTGGTTATGCTTGAAGCAAATATAGTTGGAATTGCCTGTTAATTTTGAGACCAGACATTGACACAACACATTTACAAAGACGCATGCTAAAAATCATATATATACACTTTTCATACATACCAAGTTGAAATATGGCTGCCTAGTTGTCAAAGATGAATCTAGCTTCTGCCGTGATGTATTCAGTTCAGCCATCTCTCCAAGAATACGCTGTTTATACTGATCAAAGTTGGACTGGATAGTAGAAATGTGCTCTGCAGATTCAACCCGAAGAGCTCTTAACTCATTTCTGACCTTTATAGATAGAGTATGTGTTTTGAGTGTGTCTATGGGATCCTCTGAAATAGTACCTAGTAAAGTAGTCGTGATTACTGGTATGGTGCTGTTTTCCAACTCTGCATCCACACGACTTTTTTTGATAGCCTGATAGCAACCATTGCGCTGGGCATTAGCATCAAGAGTTTCAACAGACTCGCTGATAGATAATCCTGCTAGACTGTTGGAGTTATTGTCTGTATTCATGGGTCTGCGATAATGCAATACTTGCTAAAGTTTGATGCTCGACCAGAACTAGGATCTTACCAACATAATAAAAACAAACTCTCACGGGCCAAGATAGAAATACTTGAACGCGTCACCCCTCATCTGGAGTTCAAAGGAAAAAGTATGCACATCCCCTTGATACAAGCCAAGGCTACGCAGTCGCAATATGGGATCGAATAAATATGAAACATGGTAGAGTATGCAGCCGTATTCATGTAAATGAAACATTAAGTAGGGGTGTCGATGTATAATAAACAGTCGATTTCATGACACGATTCACACCAAATATGCTGGACAATAATCGTGTTCTATGAATTTTAGTTGACTGGTCTTTTGGCGATTGGCATCAAAGCAACAATTGCATTCCTAGAACATGAAGTCTTCTCTTGAACTAAAATGTATTCAAGTTTATACAGTTTGATTGAAAACAGCATAACCCAATATCTGGATTATAATGGATGGATCTGGTTTTAAACTTGGAGACCGTACAATGTATGGTTATACCAAAAGAAGAAAATATCAGTTTAAAACTATAGTTTGTGAGCATCATACGATGGTCGTTGCCCGTGTGATTCCGGATACAGGAAGAGTTGAGAACGTCTATTCAAGCAGCCAATTTCTAGTAGGAAAAATAATGGTTGAACCATTATTTTTCCAAAAAATATAGGCAACTAGTGCAAGATATAAAAGTATTCCGTTTTACGTGAATACAACTATAGTTCATTGACTCATGGCTACTATTACTGCTACTCGCTCTTTCGACTACTTGGTGCTTGGTGCTGGCTCGGGTGGTATTGCTTCTGCCAGGCGTGCTGCTTCCTATGGTGCTAAAGTTGCCATTGTTGAAAATGGTGAGTTTTTAGTCTAGCCATTGCAACTATTATTTCTACTCCCTTTTACTAACTATCATATACTCATCATGCTGATTAGGCAGATATGGTGGAACTTGTGTCAATGTTGGTTGTGTACCCAAAAAGGTCATGTGGAATGCTGGTAAGTTCTTTGTAAGCAACCAGTGCACTGTTGGTGATGCTCATCACATGAAGCCATTCAGTGATCAATCTGCCAACAATACTGTTCAGATATTGAGCGATACCTCTATCTGTTACATCAGAACGATGGAGCAAGATTTAGAACCAAAAACTACACTTGATACTAACGCACTCTATCCTTGGCATGTGTGCTGTAACAGCCGATGTGGCCGAGACTCTTCATAACGCTTCTTGCTATGGATTTGATGTCTCGTCCAACGCTCCTTTTTCATGGTCTACCTTTAAACAAAAGCGAGATGAATATGTCAAGCGTCTTAATGGAATTTATACCAGCAATCTCGAAAAAAGTGGAATTGACATGATCAATGGTACTGCAAGCTTTGTAGATAGCCACAATGTTAGCGTAAATGGGGAGATTATCCATGGAAAACATATTCTGATTGCTACGGGCAGTCGCGCTTGGATTCCGTCATTTGAAGGGGCTCAAGAGCACGGTACTATATCATGTCATTGTATTTAATATTCTATCATTACGAGATAGAATGATTTTATTATCAAGATTGTCGAGTAGTGCTAATTTGTCTACTTGTATCTCTGCAATCTTCAAAAATATTTAATTTATACTAGGTATGACTAGCGATGGTTTTTTTGAACTCGACTTTTTACCAAAAAAAGTTGCAATTGTTGGCGCAGGTTATATTGCTGTTGAGCTGGCAGGAATTTTTCAGACTCTCGGTGCCCAAGTATCTCTATACATTCGTCAAAACGAGTTTCTTCGTTCATTCGATAAAATTATTCAGGAGGGAGTCATGGACCAGTACAAGAAAATAGGAGTCAATATTGTTCCTACCTCTGCTGTGACCAAAGTTGAGAATCTTGCTACACCAGGAGAAAAACACAAAAACCTTAAGCTGACCGTCATAAATAAGGATACGCTGGATACTACTATACATGAGGGTGCGCAAGCACTGATCTGGGCAGTAGGACGGAATGCCAATGTCGAAAGTCTTAATTTAGCTACCAGCATCCCTCAAATTAAGCTCAACGACAAGGGATTCATTGTTGTCGATGAGTTCCAGAATACAGATGCAGAGGGTGTTTACGCTCTTGGGGATGTGTGTGGAAAGGAGATGCTTACGCCTGTGGCAATTGCTGCTGGTAGAAAGTTATCTGATCGTCTTTTTGGTGGAAAGCCAGAATCTAAATTGGACTATACAAATATTCCTTCAATTATTTTTTCGCACCCTACAAGTGGATCTATTGGCTTAACTGAAGTTGCAGCCGTGGCCAAGTATGGCGCTGAAAAGATCAAAGTATATCAGTCCAAGGTATAATCTTTTGTATTGTAACTAGAAAAGCTTGAAACATTCCATTAATATCCAACTATTTGTGGGTATGCTGTGATTCAATTCGACTTGATTTAGTTTACCAACATGTATTACTCGGTGCTGGTTCAAAAACAAGCCACACATTACAAATTAGTCTGCCTTTTGCCTACTGAGCAGATTGTTGGCATGCATCTGTTTGGTCGTGGATCTGATGAAATGCTGCAAGGATTTGCTGTGGCGGTGAAGATGGGTGCTACCAAGTCTGATTTTGACAATACTGTTGCAATTCATCCAACGGCTTCCGAAGAGCTTGTAACTATGCGTTAAACTGTAGCCTAGATTGTTGTAACTGGCTATTTCAAATTGAATACTTGGTGTATTTTTTTATAGGAAAAAAGGGATATTCAACCAAGACAATCACTGCAAGATGGATACAAGTTTCATTTTACATGAATACAGTTATAAAATCTTGATCCAACATAATTACAACTCCAATAGTGACAATCCTGCCAAATTACATTATTTTTTGTATGATTTTCAGTTCTTGAGACTCTTACTAGCAACATACTTTTTGACAGAAAAATCAGTGAAAGCTATCCATCCAGCAAAAATCAGTCCAATCAAAGGAAGAGCAATCAACTCGGCAAATATATTGGGTCTAGGCGCAGCACCATTAGAGGCAATTCGAATCAGCTCACCAAGATAGTTGTTGGAGATACAAAACCTGTTATTGAGGACGCTTGCAAGCATAAACTGGGCAGCAGATTCGGGAGTCGCTGCAGTAGATGCACCTTCGATCTCGGCAGTAATGGCAGGTTTAGCTTTGTTCTCCTCGAAGAAGCCAGAGGTGTCCATATTACCTGGGAAAAAGGCATGAACCTTGATGCCTAATGGAAGGAACTCGGATCTGAGAGCATCGGCAAATCCACGAATTGCATACTTACTATTGAATGCATGTAGATCAAGGTATCGATTTAAATTACAGCTTGGACCCAGCCAACTAGACGATTCAATAAACTACTACCTTGCGGAATAAGCGGAATAGCCTGTAAAGGACATGGTGGACAGAATGCTTCCTACAAGAACAATGCGCCGAGGAAGATGAGTCTGATGAGACGTATCAAGTCCTGCTACCAACTCTGAGCAGTAATCAGTGCCAGTAGTACCCATGTCTTTTGCCACTTGAATAGCAGCACGAATGATATTGAGAGCAGTAAAGTAATTCATGTTAATCATGCCTTCATGAACAGCTCCAGTAATAGTTGGTACAGATTCGATGACACTGGGCAGTTGATTGGCGATAAAGCCAGGAACAGAACCACCGGCATTAGCAATAATCCAGTCTGGCAGTCCAACATCCTTCTCTAAAACATGCATGAATGCCAGTGTTTTTTTATAGTCGGTCAAATCCACTGGATAACAGCGGATATGGCCATCGTTTTTGGCGATAGTGATAATCTCATCGGTAGTGACCTGCAAGGCAGATCGTCCAGTAATAGAATCTTCAACATCAGTGCCTCTTGCGACCAGAGTAACTCTAGCGCCAGCCAAGGCCAGCTCTACAGCCAAAGCCTTTCCCAGTCCCTTGGAAGCACCAGTAACTAGGACATGTCTACCTTGTACCTCTGTCTTCAAGAGCTGCGGCTGAAACCAGCCAGACATGACCCAGCAAAAGGTCAAAACTCCCATCCCTACCAGCGACAATGCCAGTGGGTTAATAACCAAAGCAAACCCGCCAGCAAGCAGAAAGTTGATGAATCCCATTAGAGCTGGTACTAACAGATGGTTGGCTTAGTAATCTTGATAGAAATAGTGGTGTCAACTTTAATATTCAACTCGAGGTTTGTCTAAATCCAGAAACCATCACCCCACTTGTTCATTTGTCAATTCAAGCATTTAGATCTCATCAATGTCAAACTCCACATCAAACCCTACAAACATTCAAAAGTTAGTAGTCTATTTGGCTACTTGACACAGTAGCAGTCCTTCCGTACCTTCTTCTCCGACCTCTCCAGTCATTTCAGTCTCATTGATCTTGACATTATCAGGCAATTCTCCATATGACTTTAACAAACGTGCTTCATCTGGCGTATACTTGAGAATTACATCCGCCTTGGTGTCTTGATAGTCTCGCAGTCCAAGGAGAAGAACATCGCCTACTCCAATCCTATAGGTATTGATGGTCGTTGAGTACGTAGAAACCATTCGATTTAGTAAGTCTACCCATGACAACTTACCAGATCTTTTTGCGGAATGCGCCTCGAATATGTGCTAGCCTCTTTTCGCCATCGCAGCAGGATGTTTCTACCCAGCCATTTCCCACCATCTTGGTCACAGATGCATACTCCTGCCCATCTTCCTTGAACACAAGCTCTCGCTTATCAGATTCATGATCGTTCTTTCCTCTATTTTATCAATATAAGCCATGTTAATGCATTTACGTTTAAAGTCGTAGCCAAAAAGTCCTATATTAAATAAAAGCCCGCTAGGATTGATGATGTTTCTATGGTGTATGTATGCTGGAAACCCCAGAACATACAGATTGTTCATTCCTTCATCAATATATACAAGGGTGTGACGCTTTTTATAGTGAGCTATCCCCAATACCCATTATTGCTAGGAAACCTGGGATTGCCAAGGACATTCGTGTGCTTACCGCTTACGGTTCTTGCCACCTTTCCCTGTTAAAAATCATAGAGTAAGAAATAGCAGTAGAAACCCATCGTGCATTCATAAGGATAGTGTGAGTATAACATGGCATCATTTAACAAGTGGTTATAAACTACAGAGTTCGGAGTTGACAGCCAAAAGACCAAAAGGTGAGGATGAGTCCATCAGCAATTAATGGTATAAACAAAAGTAGCCAACCTTTGTTCTTGGTCATTTTCTCAACAGGCAAGTTTATTGCTAGCTCACACTAACTATAATAATAGATTTGAGACGACTTGAAAGAAAAACTGCAGATTGACTGAAAAAACGAAAATCTTGTCACGTGAATCTTGTCTGGTTGGCATAAAAGTTACTGTCCACAGGCTCTTGCATGCATATGGCGAGTAGGCCTCTGCTTAAGAATAGCAGAAATGTTTTTTAAAACTTGTTGGGCCACCTATACTTACTGGGGATGGTCATTTTAATTTTACCATGCATTTCAATAAAATATACGCGATATTGTACTCGGGCTGTAGATACACTACCATTTGAAAAATATGGATTTGCAAACAGTCCAGATACTACAATGCTGTCGAGTAAATGTGGATTGAAACCAATTATTGAGACTGGCTATGTATTTTAACACTCTTATTTAGTGGTTTATTTTGAGTTGATGTGATACTTGATGGTTAGACCATGACAAACATACATATGATCCCCTGATACAGTATACAACTATGCATTTTGGATGAATTAACTACCCAACAAAACAAGTCAATGAACTTGAAAAGGATTCAAAATCAAGCAACAGCTATTGCGTCGCTTTTAAAAGCGATCTAGTTTTGATAGTCAATTGAAACATACTCAAACACATGGATTATTTGATCAAGCGATTGGCTTGAGCAATCAAAACCACCACCAAAAGCAGAAATATAATGACTGGCCTCAAACTTCAAGGCTTTCACGTTTGGAGATACAGCATACAGATAATCATTGTAAACAGATATGGCCAAAATAGACCACTCGCAACAGCACTTTGAGATGCATCACTTTTCAAGTCGAGCACTTTGTTTCTAGTAGCCGGATCATATTTGGTAATCAGCTTGTCCAAACAAGTAGAGACAATCACCATTACAAAAACAGCAGTATAAACTGTACTGTAGACTCCAAATAGGCCACCAAATGTCAATACAGTGTTGCATGGTTTCAAATCGCATTTTTTAATTATCTTGTCACCAGAACAACAATACAAGTAGTCTTGGGAAAGAACAATATCAATAATGAAATTTGAATGTCGTTTAAACGATCCAACATTATAGTCTGATTGTGTCATATGATAGTCGTTGTATATCAAACACGCAATACAGTCAATGTGTAACATCAACCAACCGAGCATGTAACTATTGTATATTGCAATGCAGAATACAATCATTTCAGGATGAATATCAAAGTGATCCATTTTACACGAATACAGTTGTAAAAGGGTGCGTTTGCGGTTACACAACACCCTTGAAGGGTGCTTTTCAATATACCTGATAAAAGGGTCGTAAAAGCATAATCCAGTTGACATGAACATCAACTCGATTAATATGATACTATGAATAGGGAGTAGCATACTGTCTAGTTTGATAGTAGCCCACTACAAGCAATCAAGTAACCCTGTGTTGTTGGCTAACCTATAAGGGTTAGGGTTGGTTTGCTATACAAAAAGTATAAATACAACCGAGTATGTCCAGTTTTATAATCAACACCAATATCAACAATCTGCCCATCTAACCATCTTCTAAACCCATCCATTAATCTAATGAAGTTCATTGACATTTTATTCGCACTGAGCGCGGCAGCAACCGCTAATGCAATACTGGTTTCAGATAATAGCAATGACTCAGTTCAGGCATCAAGCACTTCGAGTCAAGTGTCTGGTCCAACCAATGAACCTGAACCAGGTACTTCCAGACAAGGCCAGCAATATTTGTTGTATCGAACTGATCCAGGTGTTCCAAAACGAAGTCGGAAACGCCCAGTCAGTGAGCCTGGTCCGAGTGCTCCAAAACGAAGTCGGAAACAATCAACGAATCAACCCGGTCCAAGCACTTCCAATCAAGACCAGCAACAGCCAATGGACGAAGAAGAGTCGGGAAATACTGCTCCAAGTCAAGAGGCTGTATTAAGCGAAGGAGATCAGAAAATCCTTGATACTATGAAAAAACAACTTGAAAAGCTTGAAAAAAAGGAAAAGAACATGTGCCAAGCCTATTATAATAGTGTACTTCGTGGATTAAACCAATGGGCAGGGTTAGGAAAAGGCAAAGGCAAAAGTATACCTGGGGTAAGGTACAGCCCAGAAGTTCAAAAACAATTGAAAGAAGATTGCGAAGAAGTAGGAGAAGTAGTAGACAGTATCAAACAGCAAGTGAAAAAGTTTATGAAAGGCTATGGTTTGGAATATGAAGAGCCGGATTCAGACGTTGAAAAGTCGAATTCAGACGTTGAAGAGTCAGATTCTGAAGAGTCGAGTTCAGATTCAGATTGATGATGTGTCGATGAATTTAATTTTCAATAAATTTAGACTTTCTGGTGTGTTGATATTTGTCGAGTATCGTGAATGGGTCAACAACCATCGTTGATTGCGTACTGCATGTTTGTGTATACTGTGTTGGGTATTACATCAACAGTTACTGGATTGTTGATTGATACATTGGCATGGTTTGTTCCATATACATCAATGACCTGATAACAACCAGTGTTATTTGTACGTGTAACTATCAGTCAGATTTTCATGATACCATCAACTGATCATGTCGTGTATTGTACAACAGACGGAGCAATACATTTATTCAAAGTCGGATGTAGATTGCGTCATTAAATGATTTGATATTGGTCAATTAGTGTTGTGTCAGTTTGCAATGTAATATATGTGGTATTACGACCATGGTATTGCCAGATTTTTGTGAGCTTCGGGTTTGTAGTGTAGATATAATCTGTAACTGTTTGTAGTTATCAGAAGAAACCAAACCAAAAGTGTAATGTGAAGCTGCACAATAGTTTAAGATTAACAGATTTTATCTTTTCAGGAATAGTGAAAAGATGCAATAAAGTAATTACAAGATTGAAATAGTTTGAAGAGTTGTTTATTAATGATATAGTTATGGGCTCTTTTATAGTAATTGATTGTTCGTGTCTTGTGGCATGACCATGTGAATTGTTTGATAATAAAGGAGGGTTAATTAGAAGGCGTAAAGTGGAAACTACTAGGATCATCACTATACCATATTACCACTTGGGAGTATCCTGCATGGATATTCCAACATAATTTCCATGCAGATGTAACCCAGTTTTTGGATTATAGTACAAGTTGTAGTTTTTTCATAATCCACCATAAGAAAATAAGCTTTTACAAATCAGTTTGAAATGTCTCGAGTCCAACTATGAATCCATTGTCATTAAGCAATTTCATTCCTGTCTTGGTTAATGAATACGTGTTCATCTGATTATTCTTGACTCTGAATCCATTGTTAACAAATTCCTGAGTAGCATTACCTTTTAAAGCATCCACATACTTTTGTTTTGTAATTTCATTTTGTTTCTTGTTAATCCCTTTTGAACTGAATTTGTTTTCATCACAATAGTACATTTTACTGACCAATGATATAATACAGTTTCCTTCATATTCCAACTTGAACAGACCCGGTGTTCTGCTGTCATACACCTTATTCTCAATGGTATCGTCTCTTTCCAACCACAGATGCCGATTCTTTTTAAATTCATCTTTTAAGCTTGGTTTTATGACTTCTAACGATTCATCAGATATAGCAATGTAAGCTGAATCAGTGTCCATCATACAGTACTGATAATCACTTTTGTCAATGGAATAATCAATAGAGTCGTAGTAAAATTGAAGCACTCGTAGTTTCGCTAATTGATACACTTGAAATCTAATGTGAATTGGTAAACTTTGTTTGAACGACATCTTTTTGAAACGAAACTCGCATCCTTTGTTCATGTCTTGATGTTCAATATAATCATTCCTTCTGATGTTTTTGATGTAGTTATCTCCAGTAACAATCTTGACTGTCTCGTGCTTCAAGAAATCTGTGATGCATTTACCATAAGATGAATTTCCCATCAATTTCATCATTTCTCCACGTAATTTATAACCAGGACTTGTATCTCGGACTCTTCACTCATTTGATACTTGCTCAGAAAACGACTTGAAATGTGCTTTACGTTCATATCTTACAGCAAAAGTAATATTTGAAACAACCAATCCATGCTCAAGATACCATTTCAGCAGTTTAGTAGCAAACATCATCGTCTCACCAAACATACTTTCAACTAATCTGTTACTTTTGTAATTTGGGTTGACATGTGCCTGTGTGTCAGAGCTTAAATCATTGCATGTAATCTCAACATTCTTGAAAATAGGAGGCATTCCAGCAAAGTGCTCCTTTAAATGCTCAGGAACAGCAATATCACATTCTATCATTCCAAAGAACGTGTTATCCAAGACATCTTTCAGAATACCGGGATAGACTTGAACTACTTGGTGCTCACCACACGGCATATCTTGACTTATCGCCCACAGATATAAAGCATTGGTATCATATCCAAGTATTCCCTGACAAGGCTTTCCTTTTCTAATTCTGGTCGTCTTTTTCTTGATAATGATGAAATACGATACTTGGACCACCAACCAGATCATCTCTGTATTTGTGATACAATTCTTCATTTCCTTTGAATAACTGAAACTCGCAGTCTTTGCTTTTTGTGTGCCAGAGATATTTAAGAGTGAGTCTAGGAACAAAGATGCCGTTTTTGTGGATATCAAGATTCAACGACTGAAAGAAATTACCCAGCTTCTTTGTCGCTTCTACGCCTGGCTTCGCATCCAAATTGTTGTAGTCGTTCAGCAAATCATACATGTTGGTGTGAGTGAATACCATTTCATTATAATCGTTTGATGAAACTGATTCACCCTTTAGATTGTTGTAAAACCACTTTTTGGATGGAATATGTGAATTTCTAAGAACTTGAATGACATTATTGGAATATTGTGTCAACTTTGGATGTTCATCAATGTATTTCGATAAATTCCGAGTTGTGATTGTGTCAAACGTTTTCAAGAACTTGTCAGTAGTATGTGTAGAGCACCGAACAATACCGTTTTAGTTTCCAGCAGAAATTTCCGCTGTATCTGGCATTGACATATGCAAGTGAAAATACAGAAATAATGATCAAACTATTTATTATTTTGCGCAACTATATGGTTTTAATCCTCTTCATCTGCTTTCGCGTTGACTCTGACGTGTTCACCATAGATTTGCTCAGCAATCGCCTGGATAAAACACACGTCAATTTCCGGAAGATTCTTTCGGATCATCACCAGGAATCGACTGCCTCCAAGCCTGCTTGTGTCCTGGTGTACGATTTCAGATAGGTGCTTGTAAATATCGACAACCTTGTCGTGCCAGGCGATGTTTTTGTCACATTCTTGCAGTCGTGCCTTTAATGCTGGGTTGCGGTCCAAATGCATCTTCCAGTTTTGAGTCCGCGAGAGATTCTTGTCCTTGAAACGTTTCTCGTACTTTTCCAGGATACTGCATGCATTCAGCATGCCTTTCAAAAAGTCGCGCTCTGATTCAATCCCGCGGAGCTTTTCTTTCAATTCTTCAAGTAAAGAATCCTTGGCCTGCATTTCTCGGTCCTTGGCCTGCATTTCTCGGTCCTTGGCCTGCAAAAAATCCTCCAAGAGCGACTCTTTCTCCTCGATTGTTGCATTCGACTGCAACACCAATGCGACCTTCGACTTCTTTTCGGGTGCCTTGACGATGAGTGGTGACTTGGCAGACAGACCGGCGGCAGAAATACTCGATATTGGGAGATCGGGTTCCAGGGCAGTAGCATCCACTGCCTGGTGCAGAGTGAGTTCATTTGGATCAAACACAACGGTGGCCAGGTTATTCAAGTTCCTACTGCCGGCTGTGACAACGTCAGCGACCTGGTCAAGGCCGTCAAGAAGGAACTACCC